AATGTCGGCGCGCAGGAGTCCCCCCCTTCGGCCCGCCTGCTTTGCGTATTCATCACGCGCCTCTCCGCTTTTTCTGCTCTCTTTGTTGGTACGCTACCCGACGCCACCATTTTTTTGTTTGGCCTCAACAAAACCAACTGAGCTGTTCGCTCATTAACTAACCACTAGTGTCCCTGTCCATCCAATCCACAATAACAACCAGGGCCACTCTCCGTAAACTCGCGTGACAATCACTTCCCACTCCTTATTTATTTTTACTTAACTATTATTCTAAATAATTTAATCCAAACTTTAGATTAATGCAGGGATGTACCGCTTTTCTCTTGCTTGGCCATCACCATCATGATCCCTAATGCAACGTTATATGGTCCTAATACGCTTTTCACTTGCCGCTAGAGACCTCGTTTCGGCTTCCACAGCTCTCCCTTTTTGGTCATCATAATAATGATTATAATATAATATTCTTGGCCACTTTATTAAGCTAACTTTGTTTTATACTTCCACCATGAAAATTCTATTCTCTGCCGTCAGCTCTGCTTTCCACTATTTTCCTCTTCTTTTATTTTCTTTTCTGTATTGTCCGGACGTTCTCGGTTCTCTTATGAAGCAACGAAGTTTCACTCTCACTGTGAGATTTGTGCGAGTCTCGGAAAATGGAGATCCATTCTGATGGCAGAGCAATGAACCCTTCCAGTCCCCGTTAAGCTCTCGCAGCTCTCTCTAGTCTAATTCGGTGTCTATATTCCACAGTAACACTGCCAGCACCTGCCGTAAGGTCTGCATTGATCTGTTTGTTTATAGTTTGTTTTATCGCATTCTTTTTTAGTCCTCTTGAGATGAATATAGTTGTGTGTTTACTAGATAACTTGTAACTATGTTCCATGGTCCGCATTTTCAAGCTTCTGCACATTTTGTGCTTCAAACCGTGACCTTCTGCACCAATTCTGTGAAACAATGGGCCGATCTGATGCTTCTGTCCTAGATTTTGAAGTTTGACCACAAGTTCTCCATTTGTTTTTTATTCCTTTTTCTTAGTTTTTACTTTTTATCTGCATTTCATTACTTGTCTCTGTGTAATCTGTTTCTAGATTTCCAGCTCTGTTTGCTGGTTTGTCTTTATCGGCATCTCTACTACAACCAGTCATTGAGAAATTACAAGCTTCTTTGTTCTATTATACATAAAGCTCGAAAATGCTTCCTGATGTCCTGCATTTCAACTGTTCTTCCTCACAGGGCTTGAAACTCTAAATATTCTCTGACGTTTAAGTAACCAAGTTTATCTGGGAGGGACTCATTACTTCTGCGGCCATGGTTTCTGGCATGAAAGCAAAGAGCAGGAGAAGTGCTAGTGTTAAAATTAATTACCTCATTCACATCGAGAAGATTAAGCCTTGGCCTCCGTCACAAGCTCTAAGATCCGTTCGTTCTGTACTGATACAATGGGAGAATGGTGAACGCTATTCAGGTTCTACCAGTCATGTTGTCCCCTCGCTGGGTTCTGATACAGACGAAGGAAAAATCGATTTTAACGAGTCGTTTAGACTTCCTGTAACTCTGTTGAGAGACATGTCCATCAGATGTGGTCATGCTGATGTATTCCAAAAGAATAGGTTGGAGTTCAACTTGTATGAGCCCCGAAGAGATAAGACTCTTAAGGGTCAGTCGCTGGGAACTGCCATCATAGACTTGGCAGATTATGGTATACTTAAGGAGACCTTGAGCATTAGTGCCCCGATAAACTGCAAGAGGAACTACAAAAATACAGATCAGCCACTTCTGTTCATAAAAATTCAGCCTGTTGAAAAGAGTCGCGCTAACTCCTTGTCAAGGGACAGTTTGTCAAAAGCGGCGTCAAAGGACGTTAATGGTGGTGACTCAAGATTGATGAACGAAGAATACGCTGAAGAAGCTGAGAGTGCCACTTTTTCTGATGATGATGATGTTTCTTCACATTCATCTGTGGCAGCTCTTGCTTCTGCCCTGGAGGCCAATAAGTGTATCCCGGCTGAACTTGTAGAGGTACTCATGTTCCCTTCCATTCTTTTATTGATAGCATCATGGATTTTTCTTTTACATTACCTAGATCAATTAGCATGGTTGCATAGGCCTTCACTCTCTCTAACTCAAAGGATATGTCCATTCAAACCCCCCGGGGGGGGGACTTGTTAATCCCTTTCCATGAACAAGCATTTTTCAGGATCATATTATGCGGCATAACATTTAAAAAAAAAAAAAAATTGATTGGGACATGTTGCAATAGGACAAACTATTGAGAATATTGCATCCTTTGTGTTTGCTGGAAAAGGATTATAGAGCACCGTCAGAGGACTGTCACCTTAAACTGTCCTTCAGAATTAATGTTATCATAGGACTGTCACCTTATGCTGATTGAATCTTATTGAAGAATACTGTTCTGTTTAATATAGTTATTGTAATTTAATGGCAGAATGGATCAACTCAAAACACTGGTAGGGATGACAAGGAGCGTCTGGCAGGGCTTGAAAAATCAAACATGATGCCACAAGATACATACCAAAAGCTGGAGAGGAGTTCATCTAGCACATCGTCTTTGGATATATCATCTGATCTCGGGAGTCCGGTAAATGGTCATGCTTCTTCTAATTCCACTTATTGTAATTCAGTGACCACTCAAAAACATGCTGTTACCCCAAATGCTTATTCTTCTTATCCATCTTTGGCTCATGACAAATTAGAGGCAGATTTCAAGATCAAGACAAGAAATAGTGGTAGTAAACATTCAGATGAGGAGGTTCATGAAAAGTTTGTTAATCATAGAAATAAAGTTACAGATGTTCAAATGCACAGCAAGAATCCAGATGCTGTAAATTGTGATGTTTCTGAAGTCATTGATAAATTCAATAGGATACATGAGGAAGGTGACAAATATTGTGTGAAGGAGGAAGGAGATGGTAAATTTTACAATGGTTATGTTGAGGACAAACGTGGAACTGAGAATTCTAGTTTGGATAAGAAAAGCAACGCAGAAAATGAAAAATCAGCAGATCTAGTTGCCAAAGATCACGCCTTATTGAGTGGCAGCTCATATCCCTTAGGCGGGACAAATATTACAAGAAGTGAAAGATTAAAGCATGTAAAGTCAGTGAGGTCACCAGCAGAATCAGCTAGGAATACAGGATCCCTCGTTAGTTATCATAATTTGGATGTGAAGGAAATTGGCATTGTTGGAGATGCACAAAACAGTGGAGGAAACATGAGAGGCGGTAGCAAAAAAGATGCTAAAATTTATCCAAAGGAAGCGAGAATGACCATTCTAGACAGCAAAGTCGAGCATTTAGAAAACAAGATAGAGATACTTGAAGGAGAGTTAAGAGAAGTTGCAGCGATTGAGGCTTCTTTATATGCAGTAGTTGCAGAGCACGGAAGCTCCATGAGTAAGGTCCATGCTCCAGCTCGGCGTCTTTCTAGGCTGTATCTCCATGCTTGTAAAGAAAACCTTCGAGCAAGAAGGGCTGGGGCAGCTAAAAATGCTGTTTCTGGGTTAGTACTTGTTGCTAAGGCATGTGGAAATGATGTCCCAAGGTATACTGTCAAGCACACTCTTCTGAGTATGAATCTATCATCATCCTATCATTAATCAACCAAAATTTTGATGCTGTTCTTGAGTACAAAGAACCACAAGTTACATTGGCATGAAAAATCAAGATCTTCTTGAGCCAAAAAAGGTCATTTGATTAGTCTGAGGAAACAAGTAGCTTATAGTGCAATGAAAAATATCCTGTGTTTTATGTTGAACTTGCATGCATTACTTGCTAAATAATTGTTAGAATGAGAATCAGCTTTATCTAAACTAACAAATTTCTAGGCTAAATTGCATGGTTGATATCTGCAAGAAAGCGCCAACTCCAGTGTGTCAGATTAGTAGTTAAGAATTTGGTCAACTGACATTTTGCTGATTCTTGCTGCATAAAATTTATTGTGGTTTCTTGATATTGACAACTGATAACCTCTTTAATCTGACTACAGGTTGACATTTTGGTTGTCTAATATCATTGTGTTGAGGGCAATTATATGCCAAACTTCCAAAGACATGTCACAATCATTTTTTGCAGAATCTAGTGTGAAAAGGAAAAGTGAGGGAGAGAGGAATGGCAAGACAACACCCTCACTACGATGGAAGGGGTCTTCACCTGGTGAAAATGGAAGTGCGGCACCAGAACACACAGGTTTTGGTAACTGGGATGAACCCCATGTGTTCACGTCAGCACTGGAAAAGATAGAAGCCTGGATATTCTCTCGCATAGTGGAATCTATCTGGTGGCAGGTAATCTCTATTTTCTCATCTCTTAACAATTTCTTGAAGCAGCCATACAAGCTGGTGTATAAAAATGACAAAATCTATTTGCGCAAATCTAATGGGAGTCGTTCTGCGTCTATATTTAGACTCTGATTCCACATATGCAACCTGATGCAATAGCCACTAAAATGGATGTGGACTCTGCCTCAAGGAAAAGCTATAGGAGGACGTCTAGCTCATGTGATCAAGAGCAGGGGAACATTTCACTAGATATTTGGAAGAATGCTTTTAGGGAATCCTGGGACAGGCTGTGTCCCATTCGAGCTGGAGGGCATGAGTGTGGCTGTTTGCCTGTGCTGTCTAGATTGGTTAGTTTATCCATTCTAATTCCTCTTTTTCCTTTCCTTTTCTGTTCTAAAGGTACTTGAGTATTTTATTGTATCTACTCTTCTTTATTTTAGTTGTCATATCTCTGTGGGTTTGATCACGATGGGCAAGGGGAAAGGATTTGAAACGAGTGATTGTGTGAACAAAGAATTATGGTGGTCTTATGCATTGGTCAATGATTACTGCGATAAAATAAGAGCAGGAAAGTGCAAAAGGGATTCACATCTGAGTTTGCGAAGGTCATAGTTTCAATGTGATAGTCATTATATATCTTCTGGACTGCCTGGTTACATGTGATGCATGGATAACGTATATATTTATAACTCCGACCAAATTGTATTCAGTAGTATCTTCTAGGTCTCTGGTCGGTCCCTAAAACTGAAGTTGATCACATCTGATGGATTTAAGTACTCTAAGTTCCTGATAATCACGCAACAGAATCTATAATGGGGGTACCCTCCGTATCTGATTACCTGACGTCCAAGGTATCTTCATGCTGAAGATTATTAATGTGCTGAGTTATCCCAATTTTCGGTCTCTCATTCTGGAGGGAGGAGTAGGAAGAAAGTATAATTTGCAAAGATTGTCTAGCTAAAGGTTTCATATCTGCAAATATGGTTTTCTTAACCCTTTAAAATAAATTCAGTCATGCTTTCTCTTACTTTGGCTGATGAGGTCTCCTCTTTGCCTGTATGATGACATTAGAATGAATTGTTACTTATTCTAGATAATGGAGCAATGTGTGACAAGATTAGATGTGGCTATGTTCAATGCCATTCTTCGTGAATCTGCTGATGAAATCCCTACCGATCCTGTATCTGATCCCATTAGCGATCCCAAGGTTCTCCCCATCCCACCTGGGCAATTAAGTTTTGGAGCAGGGGCGCAGCTTAAAACTGCGGTAAACTACTCGAACTCCACATATATGTGAACTTCAATTTTTCAATTCAAACCTAAATTTACAAGTTCAGTTCATGCAACTCTTTTTGTTCGTGTCTCATCTTCAGTGTATATCTAAAAATAAGCCAGGAATGTGGCTTGCGAAATGATGATCTATGATAGTATGTACAGTGTTTTATATTTTGGTCTCAAGCGATAGCTCTGCTCATACGTGTTCTGCTTTTATCAGATTGGGAACTGGTCTAGATGGTTGACTGACTTGTTCGGTATGGATGACGATGACTCATTTGAAGATAAGGATGACCCTGAGGACAATGATCAGAGACAAAATACATCCCTGAAGTCCTTCCATCTTCTAAATGCATTAAGTGACCTTCTGATGCTTCCCAAGGATATGCTGTTAAGTTCTTCTGTCAGGAAAGAGGTCTGCCGATGAACTTGATCATTTCTTTACTTACCAGCTGTCTTGCTTAAAATTTGTGCGCCAGTTACGTCAAATGGATTTTGGTTTGTGCAGGTATGCCCAAAGTTTAGTGCACCACTTATCAAGAGGATTCTAAACATCTTTGTCGCAGATGAGTTTTGCCCTGATCCAATCCCCACTGTTGTTTTTGAAGCCCTGGACTCGGAGGTAAGATGCCAAGTTTGCTCGTAATCTCTTGGCAGTCGAGTTAATGTCATGATTTATTGTGTTGAGAGGCAAAATATTGTCCTTGTTGGAGCTAAAAAGGTTGGTAATCATTGGCCTGAGTGCTGAAGATTTTAGCTTTTGATCGCTAAAGCATTTGTTCTCAATTTGAAACAGGACGATGTCGAGTGTGGTAAGGATTGCGTTAGAACCTTCCCATGCAATGCCGCTCCAATTGAGTACTTACCTCCTCCGGCAACTTCCATCGTTACCATTATTGGGGAGGTTGGAAGTGAATGTCAATTAAGAAGAAGCAGATCATCTGTTCTGAGGAAGGCTTACACCAGTGATGACGAGCTTGATGAACTAAATTCCCCTCTATCTTCTATCCTAATTGATGCCTCTGCATCTTCAGTGGCTTCAACAAAACCAAGCTGGAAAACCAAAGAAATCCGCTACGGATCTTCTGTCAGATATGAACTACTCCGGGACGTTTGGATGAGCAGCGAGTAGTCCCGCACATTCATTAATCAGGTTTCTGTGGCTGAGCTCTGTAAAATAGTAATAATAAAGATGCATCACCCAGGTTTAGCTGAACATGAAATATCAAAAATCGGAATGATGAGAATAGTGTGCATATAAATAATATTCATTTGACATGCAACTTGCCATAGGGTGCATAAAGAGAAAAACAGAAGCATCCTAACTCAAAAACACCAATGAAACTTAGAGCAGAGTATGTGCACTTATACAGAATTTGAGATAAGTTGTATTGTTCGTAAATAACTTTAGATACTCGTGATATTTTATATTGAATGAAAATTCAAGTGAAAAATAAAAAATATATATCAATCAAAATTGAAAAACACAAAATCTGAAGGAGATTCAGATATAAATCATTCTATGGTATACGTTAAACCCTAATTTACTTGACGAAATCCATTGTGCCGCGGATAATAACCCGACAGAGCGGAGTGTTCTATGGTTTACGTTAGCCAACATGACCCGAAAAATATTTCAGCATCATTTTTCCTCGCGGGACCCCTTTTAAACATCATTCCACTCCAATGCATATCTCTATGCAGTAAACTCGCCTGTAATAAATTAGCAATTTAGTTATGAGAGAATGACAATTAAAAATCCTGTTAGGAAATTAATGTAAAATAAGGATATAATTTCAACAAAAATTTCCAAATTACAACTAAAACTTCTATACCTACAATTTAAAAATCTTCATTTTGTATTAATTTCCTCTATTGTCTTTCTCCATTTAATTATTGATATATTTTATTTTATTTTAATATCTCAAATATTTTTTCTTAATCTACTAGCAGGGCATGCTTATCCCCAAGCGGCAGCGTTTGGGGATGAGACCCCTCTTTTTTTGTTTGAGAAAATATTTTTTTTGTTTTATTTATGTTAGGTTGCATTAGTTTTCTAAAATAGTTTTTAGCAGCACTCAATATTTTAAATTAATTAATTTTTAGCATATTCAGTATTTTAAAATATTTTTATAATTTTAATATTTAATACATCTAATATCTTAAAATATTCTTTCAATAACACTCATTATCCTAATTAATTGTATTATAAATTAATTATTTTTTATACATTCAGTATCCTAAAATATTTTTCCAATAACATCCAATATTCTAAATTAATTAATTTTTAAATTATCTAGTATCCTGAAACATTTTTACAATAACGCATAATATCCCTAGTTAATTAATTTTTACTGTATCCCATATCCTGAAATATTTTTCTATAATACCCAGTTTTATAAATTAATTTTAGTACATTTAGCACCCTCAAATATTTTTTTTTAGTAACATTCACTAACTGAGAAAATACTTTAGATATACTTAAAATTAATTTTTGAGATACTACATGTTACTGAAAAAATATTTTAAAGTGTTAAATACAAGTTAACTCAAATAAATAAAAATAAAATAAAATTAATTTTAAAAAAAGGAGGAGGCACTTCATCGCCAAATGTTGCCATTTGGTTTTGGGAAATGAGCATTCCTTGCTCATGGAATCGATAAGCAAAGAATGTGGATTCCTCCTTATTTAGGTTCACCCTGTGACATTTCACTTAAATTCACATCTAGGGGCAATCATCACAAAATAAGTAACTATCAAAAGTAAATATTAATGAATAATGTAAGTCCCAATCACAAGTTAATTAGTTGTGCCCATTTCTGAGACATGGATAAATATATTGTAAATTTTCCGTATGATTAAACAGTTTTAAGGGACTGAATTGAGAGATCTCGTGCTTAGAATGTCCAATTGCGAAGAAATTTATCGTTTATAGCTAAATCATTAAATTACTCTTAAATTTACTATTTCACTAATAATGAGTATATTCTTAAAGAAGACACTGACCAAACCAACATGAGGTTCGTGTAGGAACGTGAAAGTACCGAAAAATTAAGAAAACATGGAAAAAGAAAACAATACACTCATTCGTAGAATTTAGTTGTCATACAATACAGGCCCGTATACTTGCATCCTATCTAAAGCTACAGGTAACACACCCAGCTTACATTCACAAATATCAATGCAGGAGGAGGAAAAAAAACAACTAAATTTAACAATCGCCAAAATTTCTAGTGCACCCTGGCTCTCATATTCACAGGTATCAGAATGCCGATATGAATGATGCCGGAGAAGATGATTGATGGTACCTTAAGCAGTCAACTTCTGTGAAGAAGTGGGAGCGTCAATGTGCTGGAGACGTAATGCAGCCAGAAGTCCCTGCCAGGTTTCTCCAGGACCCCCTGCTACTTCAATATTAATAAGTTTCTTCTGCTCTCTGTAGTATTCTTCCAACAGCTTGCACTGTAATAAAATCACAGAAATAAAGTACCATAAGGATCTGGGAAAATGAAATGACTTCTACAGATAGAGAAGGAAAGATCATGAACCAACCTCTTCTGCGTGATCGTGGACATTTTCTCTCCAGGAACTTCCAGTGTAGGTATATTTCGAGGGGTCCTGCCGCAACAGCTTACTGTCCATTCTAAGATATTCCCGTGAAGGATTAAATGCTTGAGCTCTTAGAGTCTTCGTCTCAAAGTTTTGCTCCGAGCATTTGAAATTCACAACCAAATCAATATGAACGATGTGATCAAGAATTTCCTGTGAAATAATTTGTATTTTAACACAGATAAGCAACTACCATATAAAGGCTTGTTAAACTGAGTGCGGCTTGACTCCTCAGCGTATCAAGAATTGCCAGTAGAACAAATCATAGGCAGAGAAAAGAGACTATTTGCAAGACTGTAGAAACTGGACACTTACAGCTTGGATCCTTGTGCGAGGAATTCCATTCAGGATGAAGCCTGTTTCACCTCTCAAATATCCTTCTTCCAGCCTCTTTGACAACAGCCGAAAAATTATTTCCTCAGGGACAAGTTTTCCTTCATCCAAGGCATTCGCTATCTGCATTGGACGACACAAAATAGCGTATCTATTAAAAATGATAGATGTGAACTGTTACATTGGTTCAACTACTAAAATTCAGGTACAAATTGAGGGGATCCCAAATGGAGAGATCCAAATTTTGCTTTATCACATCTAAGACAACAGACTACAACCTGAATTTTGAGAGCGGGAAAGAAAGGTTTCAAGGAAAGAAGGAATAAAGAAAAAGAGAAAAAGAAAAGAAAAGAATTACGTAGAATACATATAAAGTAGGAAACACGAAAAGAAACACGAAACGGTCAAAAATTGAAGAATTCGACTGCAAGGACAACAGAAATCCGAAGAAAGATTATCAACTAATTGCTCTTCGACTTAAGGTTAAACTGAACTCCAATTTTTTTCAACTAAACAAACAAGGTTTAAGCCAAGCAGGACAAGAAAACCACGTTAACTGAATTCAAAAATCACCAGAGCGGGAGAAAAACCTGCTGGTAGAGAGAAGAACGAGGACTAAGTTCCTGGCTAAGGAGGGTGGCCATAGAAATGTGTGGAACTTCGAGAAGCTTCGAGAGCCTCTCAGCAAAAACATGCCTCTTGGAGCCTGGTTCCCCTATCATTACCCACTGCACTCCACGTTCCGATGCGGAACCTTCTGTATCGGCCATGGCACTTGGCTTGCACAATTCATACCGTTCTTCTTCTTCATAATCATCATAATCGTACTGAACTGCGGCAGCCGCCGATCCGAAAGCTCGATTAGAGAGTAATCTGGGCGGTCTGAACAACGGAGCGACCACTCTCAGTCTGCCGATCGCAGCCATGGTAGCGGTGGACGGAGGTTGCAGTGGCGGCTGCTACTATTAGTAGGGCTCGAGAGTGAGAGGAGAGATTGTCAGTGAATATGAACCTGGGATTGTCTAATAGGGGCATATTCGACTTGGACAAATACCACTATTTGTCGTGTTAATTACGGGCATGCCACTCCATTTTGATCGTTGATTTTATGGCGGGAGAGATGCCGGGAACGATTCCCACTTGGCGTGCGTCTATTGGAAGAATACAAGACGTACGATCTGTTATTTTGAAAGAGAATTTAATCAAGTGCGTGCAGGCTCACGGTTTTGGTATTCCTTTGAGGCTTTGATTGACTTATTTGAGTGGCTACAGTGGTTGCTGAAAGCGGAAACAGTCAAATGCTAATCAAAGATGTTCGCTATGCGTCCAATCAACCCACTGATAACGCCAATTGTCCTCACTTTTTCCATTTTGAAATGGAATTATAATTCTCACTGTTCAATTCTTAATATAACAATTATTTGATTTTTATTTTAATTTTAAATATAATACTTCATTATATTTTGTCTTTTATATTTATTTTTTTTAAAATAGTTCTTATAATAATAGCAGTTCTAACAAATATACTTGATTAGTAAAGATATTTTAGGAAAGACAATATCTATTTATTAAAAATAACTAACTTAACTAATTTTCTTAATTTATTCAAATCAGTGAACTAATTGTTATACTAAGAACCGGAGATAGTATATTGTAATACTACTTCCAGTTCTAATTATAAGAACAAGTTGACTAATTTGAGAAGATTAAAGAAATAAGCTAAGTTAGTTATTTGTAATAAATAGGTGTTGTTTTTCCTAAAATATCCTTACTAATCAAGTGTGTTGGCTACAATTATAATTATTCGAAGGACTATCTTGAAAAAATTATATAAATATGAGAGACAAAATGGATTAAGGTCTTATATTTCAGATTAAAATAAAAGTCAAACGAGATCTTATATTAAAGATTGGAGGTAGTATTTTTTAATATTTTTTTTTTGGGAAGAAAGATGATCATTTAGATAAGCAGGTCCTAAAATGATCTCGCGAAGTAGCTTCTAAAATCCTTTGAAACTATTCTTAAATTGAGTTTTTAAATACCTTAATGACGCTGTGATATATAGAATCAAGTCAGAATAATACATTATCAAAATTTAATTGCAAAATAGACAGTAAGAACTTACAAGAATTAGTCCATGTAAGGGGGATCATTTTGAAATTTGTTAATTTCGGTGACTTTATGTGTCTTTGTCTTTAGTTTTTAATTTCATTAAATTAGTCGAAGTCGGATTCGAAATGTACCCGGCGGCTCAGCGATTGAATCTCATGCCCTGGGTCTTGCCGTAGCTAATACCAAACCGAGGACATGCTCAGCTTTAGAAGCTAAATCGGAGGAAGTTGTTGTGTTACCCAAATGACACGTGGTATGTTGAGATGTTTTTTGCACCCCAGGGCAGGCCACCCACTTGTTGATATTTGACTTTTTTTAAAAGAATTTTACTTTTCTACTCCAAATATAAAACCCTTATAATATAAAAGTCTAAGAAGAGGAGTATTTAATACTCCTCCGGTCCTAATTATAAGACCCAATTGACTTATTTGAGGAGATTAAGGAAGTAAGTTAAGTTGGTTATTTATAATAAATAAGTGTTGTCATTCCTAAAATATCCTTGCTAATTAAGTATATTGGCTAAAACTATCATTATTAGAAGGATTATCTTGGAAAAAAATGCATAAATATAAGAGACAAAATGGATTAGGGTCTTATAATTAAGACCAAATAAAAAGTCGAATGGGGTCTTATAATAAGGACCAGAGGAGTATATACGTTTCATCAACTTTGGAATCCTAAGAAGCTCCGTTCTCGAAGAAGAAGGTGGCGTAACTCTTATCAAATTTTTATGGATTATTTGGAAATTAATTTTTGTGTGTGTGAAAATGCTTTAATAAGGACTTCAATTGTTTTAAACAATTGAGTGCTTATTTAGAATGGTAATAGAACATTAAGATTTTTCAAAAACAATTTTTTAATCATAATTTAAAAAATATAAAATAAATATATATAAGAGGATTTTTGTCACCACTTTTAAGAATATATATATATTTTTTTAATCAAAAAGCTCCAAACAAAGGTTGGCCACATATTCTTCTCTTCCCTACCGTTGGATGAATCTGGTGGCCCGTATTAAAGCACTGCCCGGGGCGGACTCACGGGAGGGGAGCTGAATCCCTGGGGCTTACCCGGAACATTTTCCACGCCAAAACTCCAACTACTGCGGAGACTCCCAAATTCAAAATCCGAGAAGAAACGGCACGTTTTAATTAATTTCGGGAAAATGAATATGATAGTCCTTATAATTTTATCAAGTTTTGAATTAGGTCCTTATTGATTTTTTCCTTTTTATGTAATCCTTATTGTATGCTCCGTTAATAAAGTTAGTCCTTCCGTCTAAAACATTTGAAGATGCCGTTAGTTTGAGCTAAATAAATCATAAGCTCGCCTTTTTCCTTAACACAGCATCACCTCCTTTCTCAGCCCCCCCCAAAAAAAAAAAAAACTCCGCCAGTCTCCTTCATAGCAAAATACCGTTACCTCTTCACCATTAACCAGAGACCTCGTGCCTTCTCCAAGGTAGAAGCTACTCGAAAAGGGGTCAAACATGGTGACTGCGTTTTGTTCCACATAAGCCTTCTTTAGGATCGCCGCTATTACAGTCTTTTTCTCCATCGAGGCTTTGGTTAAAGTAAAATCAAGATCTTGACTTCCATCAATAACACTCTAAAATAATGTCATAAAAAGAAAGTAATATATAAACATTGGAAAAAAAAAACTGGATCTTTACATTCTTTTTTAAACAAGAAACTGAAAAGAGTTATGAGTTTGAACTTATTGTGTCTAATGGTATTTTTTGAATAAAAAAACAATGGGTTAGAGAAAGAAGACCGGAAGAGGAGAAGCTAGCATTCCGATCAACAATTCTGATATTGGGATAATGCATTGTGTGTCTTTACAAATTTCGATATTTGCTGTGAGGTTGTGTGGCGAAGATAATTTGTTGCATGGAAATATAGAGATACAGTAAGGTTGTTTGAATTGATTCATCTTTATCTCTCTCACTGAAGTTGCAGACAAGACATGGGAGGTTGGCTTAGCAAGAATGGATTGAAGCTTGTGCAAGAGAAGGGTGAAAACGATGAAGGTGCAGAGAGAGTACACGGACGATGAGCTTCAGCGCATATCTTGGTCAACTTTAACGGCATCTTCAATTTTTTTTGTACGGAAGGACTAACCTAATAATAAAAATAATAATAAGGACTGAATAAAAAGGCAAAAAATAATAGGGACCTGATTCAAAACTTGATAAAACTATAAGGACTTCCTGATTAATTTTCCCATTAATTTCAACAACACTAGACGGACAACGTCAAATGACTTCAGTCATATATTTAGTAGACGATACTCAATCTGTACAAGCTGGTCTGTCGTAAATTTACACGGACGAACCAGCCTTCTGATATGGACCTAGCTTCAATTTTTTTGTTGTTCCAGATTCTTCTCTCTGTCTCTATCTCTAACCTTCAGGCATAAGCATCTCTTTTCTTACAGGGATGCGACGAAATGAAGAGTCTTTCCGTAAATTTATCACGATGATATATAGACCCCCCAAAAGAATGCTCCCATTGGTCTGCTTCGTCGGGTTCCAAGGGGAAAAAAAAAAAAAAGGAAGGAAAATATAGTTTTATTTCTTACGAGCCCCTCTGACTCTGAGGTTTGGGAGGTTAGCACATCAGTTTTCCAGAAATCATTAAATAATTCATCGTCGCCGCCTGGGTTCTCTTATTTGACTCTTACCATTCGTATGTTTTGTTTGAGAAATTCCAAGAGTGTTTGACGACTAATTCTATTCCTTTTTTTGATACATACGACTACTTCCATCCTTTATTAATTTGATACTCATTTACATATAAAATTAATGTGAATTAAAATATTAAATAGTGTAAAAATATAAAGTCAGCGGTGTTTTCTTCTGTTATCGTGGAACCTTACCCGGTCCAGCAAGGCTAATTGGTCAACCCACGCCACGCGACAACACTGTATTTTCTCTTTCCATTTCAAACCCCGCGCGCTTATATATACATCACGGCTGTCAGCTTCTTCTTCGTCTTCAGCAGCAATCATTATATTGGTTTCATTCTTCCTTCTTGTTCTTCCATCTCTCTATATATCTTTGTATACCATCATTATCTTCAGCTTCAGTCTTTGCTTAACAGATACATCTTATTTCCACGATGGACAAGAAGTCAAATCAATACGAACGTGTATTTAAGCACTTTGACGAGAACGGAGATGGGAAGCTATCGGCGTCGGAGCTTCGGCAGCGTGTGGAGGTGATCGGCAGAGAGCTGTCAGCAGAGGAGGCCGAGGCGTTGGTGGGTTATTTGGATGCCGACGGTGATGGGTTGGTGGGGTTGGACGATTTTGTTAGGTTTCTGGAGGAAGAGAAAGAGGAAGAGAGAGTCAAGGGCTTAAGAGAGGCTTTTAAAATGTATGAGATGGATGGTTCTGGTTGTATTACCCCCAAGAGTCTCAAGAGGATGCTTAGTAGGTTAGGACAATCTACGAGTTTACAGAAGTGCCAACTTATGATCTCTAGCTTTGACCTCGACGGTGATGGTGTTCTCAGTTTTGAGGAATTTAGAGTCATGATGATGTAATGTTGAAAAATTAAATCCCATTGGTTTTAAGTTACATTAATTAAATGATTCCGATATCAGTATTTGATGAACATTAGCAGAAAACTGCAGTATTGTCTCTTATTTTGATTGGTTTGCTAATTACAAGTTTGAGGAAAACACCCAACGACAACCGCATTGTTAATATGAAAGACACTTGTTAATTGTGAATTTTACTGGCAGTCTGCTACAAAGTACAAACAACTCCCGATCTCTACATGGAGATTTTTTGGATCAATCAGAAAATCATATTTCCCCTCCGAAACTATCTTCGTTTGCTCTGTTTTACTTTAAAACCAAAGATCCACAAT